TATTAAATTTCTTAAATAGCTTGTTCATTAATTTAATTAGGAAAATAGTAAATGCTAAGAGTCTATGAATGGCATGAACTATCTAAAGCCATTATTATGGGTTTGCATTATTCRCACTAACAAGCCATGTGGTAACTTTAATCCCAATAACGAATAAAAATATAATAAGAAGTAATAATATTAATAATGATTAGGTAGTTACCAATGAGTAATGTGTTTACATACATGTATGAGATACTGAAAGTAAATAATTACATTTATCTATTATTTGTGACTCAGTTATGTAATATAATAACCATTCTTAATTTTTATAAAATATAAAATATTTTCATATGTTGTTTAGGAAAAAAATTAACTTAACGTATCAAATAAAYTAATAAGTAACTGAATAACATTAAAAAAAATTAACTTGTTAGGTAGAAGTTACTTTAAAAAAAAATAACTTAATTTTTTACTTTTTATGTATGGTGGGGAGGGGGGGGGATAGTAAGATACCTAAAAGGGTAAATAACCAATTTATGAACCCTGTAATCTGTATCGTTATGTTTAATTTTCTTAACTTTCCATAAACATTATATTACTGGACTAGGCCTGTGTATAACATTACATTACAATCGGCAACAAAACATCTCACATTAATATAAGCTGCTTTGATGACAAAATACAGTAATCTGTATCCTATTCTACAACYCTGCTCTATCACATATATCGAGTGAACAAAAAGCATCCTCTACATTTTGATGCTTTTCATACACTCATTGCTTGACGCTTGACTAGTAGAATAAGATCTATGATTACTAATATCGTTATTTAAAAATTGTTATTCAATTGCTTAAATGCAATGCAGTATTACTTTTAATTATCAATATATTTATAATTTTTACATTTTTACATTTTTTAACCTGAACAAATAAAACTTAAGTATCAACTTCCGTACAAAAATTTATAAATAACACAAATTAAATTTAAAGATACTTTTATGTTTAATATTTTATTTTGTTCAACTACAATTAAACCTAATTTATTTCTTGACTGTATTCATAATGAATGAACTTAAAGCAACAATTATAATTACAAACTAAATTACAAACTAAATTATCAAAGAAACTTAAATTCATTAAAAATTTAGATATAATTGATTTTATGAGATATTTTAAAAATCTTATACAAATGTTAACTTATTTAAGTACTTAAAAGTAATATTTGTTTTATGGTTGATAAAACTTATTGTATTAAGTACTAAATCAATGAAAATATTCTAATTATAACACGGTTTTTACAATGATCTAAAAATCAGCATAGTTAAATTTWAAAAAAATATTTACAACCCCATTTTTCTCCCTTCTATTGATATCGRAACTGCACGCTTCGATTGGTTATTTCTCTTGCTATCCATATAGTTCTTTAAGTGTTTTTCAAAACGGTTCATTGGTCGCTTTACAGCCTAAATATTTCAAATTTCATTAATGGATTATTTATAAATTGTAAATATTTATTTAAACATATTAACTTATATTAATGTAAGTTATATTACCTTTGAAATATCAGCATCTGTCATTGACTTTGGTCTAACCACATAATCCTTATTAGAGGGAGTAGGTACACGGGCTCTGGCTATCCAACCTTTGTCTCCTGGTTTTAATGTTCTTGGACTAAATTAAAAAATTATACAACAATAATAAATGAATATAAATACATCCAACATGTTATTATTTATTAACTCATAAGTATTAAAATAAAATTTAACTGTAATAAAATAGTGCTTTAAAACCATATTTAAATCCACTAATTAACAAAAAATATGATTTTTTTTAGACATACTTCATAGAACATGGTTTTTAATTTAGGGGCCTTGCTACAACTGACAATTTTAGTTCAAAAGCACTAAAATTTTKATAAAATTTAATTTAATTTAAGTTGTTTGATTTTAATTTAGAAAAAAAGATTTGAATTTAACAGAAAAATGCCTATAGTTTGTATAGAACACTTCTTATTTTTAATACAATCATGATTTGATTAAATTCATATTTACAAGTGTTAAATTACAGTTGAAAATTAAATATAATAACATTTTTTTTAGAACTTAAATCAGACAATATTAATTAACTTTAATTCTATCAAAACAAACTAAATTTTAACATTTGTATAGTGTAATTTATATTTTTAATGAGTTATTGACACGTTAATATGAATGTTCATACGAGAGTGGCATTCGTCACTACCAGCATGAACCCCATTAACACAAATAAATTCAATTCAGTAGTGGTCTTGGTGGTTTGACAAGTTTAAGAGGCACCACTTCGCCTCAGTAATGCTCATACATCGCAACTATTTTTAATAATTTAATAATGGTACTATTTAGAATTTTAAAATCTGAATACATACTTAATTTTTATACAAAGTGYAACAGATAGAACTGACTTTTGGCCTAACTTTTTTCATATTAATATTTTTTAGTACTGAAAAAAATAAATAATTTAATAAAAAAAATGTTGGATAAATTTTAAATAGCCTTTTTGTTAATCAGATTATAAAAACAATTTTTATTGTAAAAAGATTTATCTAAGTCAAGTAGTTTATTTTTTAGAATGTTTTATAAAATTTAATATTTTTTTGGTTAAATTAACGCAATAACATTTTAAAAATATGGTTATTGAGAATTTGTTAACATGAGTATATATCTTAAATTATTTATTTATCATATAATATTAAAAAAAATTGTCATACGATCAATTGGCATATTTTTTTTTTTTTTTGGTCAGGTCTTTCTATTACACCCTGTATATTATAAGAAAGAATATATAATACATATCTTAATCCAAACTCCAAATGGTATAGATTTTAGATGCTCATAATCCGAAATATTTTTAGACTTCACATTGCAGTGATGTTATACATTTTAACACCACAGTGAAGATCGAGAATCGAGATTTACGACGGGCTCCGTTGCGGAAAACGTCAGATGTGATAACTGACAGCAACCATGCAACCAGTCGGCTTTATAACGCGCTGTATCGTCAACCAGTAAGATGCAAAATACACAAATAGAAGTCAATATTRGTGTGTTTATAACACTATACGATCTCAATGGACTAGTGGTTCTCAAAYGATGTGTTGCAAATTACCGTGAAACATGTCGTCAAAAGAAAAATTATTTATTTAGGTACGTGTTACGACTTTCAGAGTAAAAATATATGTCTCCGTGTCTCAATATTTTATCATTAGGCAGGCCCTATCTCTACTTGTTCATGTATTGTACACCTATGCGTTAACGCTGTAAGCTTATGGTTGCACCCAAGTAACAAAAGTGATCTACTCATAATTAACTAATATTTCCACTATATGATTTAAAGAATATCAAATATGTGTATCTCTTTATTATTTGAATTCTCCTGAAATACATTTTTTCCAAATTCTGTTTTCAAGGTATTTATATTTATATCATGAAGTATCAAAGCCAAACATGAGATAATTTTTTTTTTTGGAGAGGGAAGTTGAGTATACCTTTAAAAGGCATACTAGAACCATTAATATGTGATATGGTTATATATAAAAAAAAAAAAAAACAAATACAAGGTAGACTGGTCTTGTAAACTTTTTCATTGTTCTCAATTTTAGTGGCCTATTAAAACTATAATTGCAAAATTCAAAATTAAGGAATGCAGTGGCTGACCTTGAATTCACGACACTTCTTGCAGTCTGGTTTATTATATATTAAGTGAACCACTATAATGCGACAAACTTCATGATAAATTTCAAGGTCAGTAGCTACTTTTTTTTTGAAAATGATATAGACAGTATAGTTAAATTATCGAGTACATAATAATCAAAGAAAAATAATTATTAATTAAAATGTATGTTTGCAAAAATGATGGAGTTACCCGTCATCATCATCATCATCATCGTCATCGGGTTTGTTATCATCAATACTTGAACGCTTCCGCCTAGGCATTTGTTCCAGATCTCGTTCTTCTCTTTCTTCTTTGGACATTGCTTTAAATAAAAATAATTAAAGTTAATTTTAAAAGCACAATATTTAAATGAAGAATAAATTATATTTTATCAACAATAGACCTTTAAAGTCTGTTGATAAATTGAAAATTGGACGAGCCCATTCATTTATAAGACGACCAGCACGTTCTCGATTTTCTTTAGTTTCTTTGGGGTGTCTATACAAATACATGACAGCTTTACCAATTCCGGAATACTTGAGAGTAGATTGTTCAATTGGAGGATACTGTAATAAAAACAAACAAATAAATAATATGAACTTAAATACTCTAGTACAATGGATTTACATCAGCTAAAAGTTTAATCAATGACTCGCGGACTTGCAATGAAGGCAAACTTCTGTCTGGCATAGGTGCTAACCAATCAGTGAAAACATTTAATACATTATGCTCAATAAAGGCCAACATCAAATTGTGTTTCTTTAGTTGTGATAGACATTTTGGAAGCATGGTTATTTTGTTAATTGCAGGTTTTCCTTCTTTGTTTAATTGTCGATCACACTAAATAATTCATGGAATAATTATAACACAAAAAGTTAAAAAATATTCAAGTTAAATAAATAGATTAAAACAATTTTGAATTTTTATTTGAATTCTATTAGTAATTTAGTTACTTCTGCTGCATGTTTCATATCTCCAATCAATCCAGCAATAATATCATCATTGTCATTAATAATATCTATATCCTTTCTACGGCGTTTCATTGATTGTTCTTCTTTTTTTCTCATCATCATAATCTCAAAATCTGATGCCGGATGGTTATCACTGCATAAATATGTATATTTTAAATTAKAAGGATATTTAGAAGAATGAATCCATTAGGTTATTTATGAAATAAATAACTTCAAACTGGGTTATTACCTATTCTGGTTATCAGGTTTTTCAGGATCATCGGGGTCATCAACGTTTTCATTGTTGGCATTACTTTTGCTAGCACTTGTTCCAATTTCTGCAATTGGATCATCTTCTTTATCGGAATCATCTGATAATTCTGGCAACACTTCAGCTACATCCAATACCTTTTCTGTATTTTCATCATCAGATATAGCGTGCTCCTTACGAACCTAATTAATTAAAATATCAAATAAAATATATATATAGTATATACATATTATATTATATAATTTAAATTATAATACAAACAATCGGACTCGTTACAGGTATATCTTTAACATCGTCATCTTCTTCAGATTCTGAATCTGACATAATTTTAACCTTTTTAAATGTTTTTTTCTTAGTTATATTAACCTCTGGTTCTAAAAAAAACATTGGGTTATAAAATTAATATCTATAATATATGTATATAATTATTACCTTGGTCATCATCAGAATTGTCCTCATTTTTAGTTGGCAAGTCGTCATCTTCAGAATCAGATACAATTTTACGTTTTATTTTACTTTTTTTGAAAGAAGAATGAGAATCCGCTGATGATACTGAAGATGATCTAGATTTAGATCTTGAAGGAGACTTTGATCTTGATTGAGTATGTAACATATCTCTTGATCGAGATTTAGATCTATCCCTAATACCAGAACCAGAAACTGAATGTGAAGAAGAACCTGACTGAGAAGATGATGAGTCATTAGAAGACTGAGATATGGATCTGGATTTACGCTCAATTGTCTTCACATTATTTGATATATTAACACTGTTATCATCAGTAGACGAAATAGATACTTCAGAAGAATTTAAAGCATCTAAAATAAATTAAATTAATCAGAATAAAATATATATTGTATAATAATTTATTGACCAACTATAATAGCTCATTTGGTTTATTAATTCTTGAATATTTTTTTTTGTAATTTCAAAATATATACATTTTAAATACTCAARCAAAGACATACATCTCTCTTGTTTCAAATCATCAAATACTTTTGAGCTTTGAAATAGTAATTACACAGAAAACCAATCAACAACAAAAAGTTGATAATCTCAGGAATATATAAAATTGTTTGTCTAAATCCTTGGTAAAAATAGAGAGCATAGAGTACTATACGACATAGTATTGAGTATCTATGTAATAAATATTAAATCTAATTTGAATAACCCATACTACAAAAATTATTTTGTAATAAAGAAATGGACTGAACTATTCACTGTTATCAAACATGACAATTATAAATGTTGTTAAGTAATAACATTTTCAAATGCCTCAAATGCTGTGGCCGGTGTTGAAAATTTGAAATAGTATGTTATAAATACTGCTACTAAAATACTAAAATTTGAATTTATGATTTACTAATATTGAGAATTTTACAGATGAAATTTCTACGTCTCTTGAAAGTTGAAATTGGGCAATTATTCTTATAAGTGTTTTTATTGTTAAATATTGTACTATCAAATTGTCACACCACTATGGTAGAGTACTGATGTATCAGGTTCGAATAAAAATAATTAATTACTCTATGTGTCACTGTCTTTTACAAGGTTTTGTCTAGAGTGCATTTATATTGAGTCTATAACTTATTCAGAAGTTTTATAATAAAAGTATAACACTGGATTATAGGTACAATTTCAAAAATTTTCTTGCTAGCCAAGCTGAATAAATTTAAGTCCTTTAGTTGACTTTAAATCATTTTTAATATTAACAAATTTTAGTGATGGAAAAAATGACTGTTAAGTTATTCAACTAAAATGTATTTTTTCAAAAAATGTATATTTTACTTTTAACAATATTCTATAATATAATATAAAATAATATAATAGACACCATGGGGGATAGGCCATTTTTGGCCTACCGGGAAATTTTAAAAAGGGGCCCCACATGAAAAAGAATTTAATAATATATGATATTAAAAGGCCCCATTACCGAAATATGAAGGGAGCCCACCGGGAAATGCCCGGTAGGCCTATCCGCCCATGATAGACATTACAGATATTACTGATATCATACAAATAATAATTATTCAATCCACGATTATAATATACAGAGTGTCCCACAGAGATCTGACATTCTGACAAATGAAATAAATTTTGTTCTAATAAATATTTTTTAAATATAATCCATAGACACTTGCGCTACATTTTTAGAATACATTTTTTATTTTTTACTTTTTAATACTGAAAATAAAAAACTTAAAAATTGATACATTTTGTTTTCAAAATATTCAATAAAGCCAATTTGTAAATTTGATTTTCAGAAAAATTTATATGGTAAAAACTTATTTAAGTCAAAAGGCTGATTTTTTACAATTTTTTTAAAAATCAATATTTTCGTTAGGTAAATTATAGTAATTTATGGTTTATACATCACATATTATTAAAATAAA